GGAATTGCCATAGCTTTCATAGCAATGGTCCAGAATATATATTGATTTTATCAAATTCATCTACTTATCCAGATGTAATATGCCTACAAGAAACTTGGTTTAAATATAAATGAAAATGATCTAATTGAAATTAACGGTTACACAGTTGCAGATTTCTCAGTTAGAGATGGTATAAAGGGCGGCGGCACAGCTATATATGTCAAAGTAGACATTCCATACTCTAAGAAAGAAATAACTTCAAAATTTGAAACTTCTGTTGCTCAGTATTAATAAACAGTGATATGGTCACCATTATTAGCCTATATGATGCATCAACAGACACAAAAGAAGATGATTATATAAATCTCTTGAATCAAATTGAAGGTAAATTTATTATCTGTGGTGACTTTAATGCTCATCATTATCTATAGGGTAGTAATAAAACTGACACTAAAGGTAACTCATTGCACAATGCTATTAGTACCAATAATATTATAGTTCTAAATGATGGATCAGGTACTAGACAAAATCCCTCCGATTTACAATTGTCATGTATTGATATATCAATGTCTAGTGTACAGCGAGCACACCAAATAACGTGGACAGTAGATAATAAATCCTTATATGGTAGTGACCATTTTGTAATACAATTATCATTGAATCAAACTTCATCGTGTTCAAACAGCGAACAAGAGTTGATTTGGAACTATAAAAAAGCTAATTGGGATGGGTTCGCAAGCTCATGTCATGAACAACTTAGTGAGAGAATGGTTACCGACAATATTAATGAATCATGTACTCATCTCACTAACACTATCATTAAAATTGCTGGTGAACACATCCCTTCTAAGAAAAGGACGAAAAATAATAAACCAGAGGTACCCTGGTGGAATTAAAACTGTACAAGGGTGGTAAAAGAACGCAATAAAGCTCGTAACAAGGCCAGACATACGGGTGGGGGGGGGGGGGGGAGGGTGGTGGACATGATTATTTATTATACAAAGAAAAAGAAACGTAATGTACAAATACTATTAAATTAAATTAATATAGGGAAAACTTCTGCAGTGGATTGAATAATAATAATAATAAAGGGCAAGTATGGAATACAATTAAGAGAATGATGGGTAAAACAATTAATTCTCTAATTATGCCAACTTTGATTTACAAAAATAAAATATATGAATCTACTAAAGAAAAGGCTAATATATTAGCTGAAGCATTTGCCAATGTAAGCAGTTTAAGTAACTATTCAGAAGCATTTATATCACACAAAGAACATATTGAGTCTATAGAAGCTGAAAACTTGAAAGAATATTTTTCTGAAAACTCCCAAAGTTATAATGAACCATTTACCCTTAATGAATTACAGGATGCTTTTGCTAATACATCAGATACATCTCCTGGTAAAGATAAGGTTACCTATAGTATGTTTAAAAGCTTTAGTGGTAAATCACTTGGTGTACTTCTTTTATTATATAACAGAACTTGGTTCTCACAAGATCTTCCTCTGGCTTGGAAACATTCAATAATAATTCAAAGCTTTAAAAAGGGGAAAGATTCAAGTGACTCACATGCATATAGACCAATAGCTTTAACATCTAATTTTGTAAAAAATATGGAAAAGATGATTAAATACAGACTGAGGTGGTACCTTGAGAAAAATGATATTTACTCACCTTATCAGAGTGGATTTCGTCAAAATAGAAATACGATGAAACAAATAATTAGACTTGATAACGATATACAAAAATCATTTTTAAAAAAAGAATATTTAGTTAGAGTATTTATTGACTTCAAGAAAGCATTTGATATGATATGGAAGTTTGGACTTCTAAACAAAATGGTTAAAATTAGGATAAAGGGTAACATGCTCGGTTGGGTTAATTGTTTTCTCACTAACAGAACAATACAGGTCAAAATAAATAACACTCTTTCTGATACTCTCACGATCCAAAATGGTACCACTCAAGGAAGTTGCATCAGCCCGACATTATTCAATATTATGGTAAACGATCTCCCCTCATGTGTTAATAATTGTTCTATTTCCCAATTTGCAGACGATAGCGCAATATGGTTGTGTGGTAAAAATATTGGTTATATTCAAAGGAGAATACAGAAAGATCTTGACAATATCAAAACATGGTGTGATAAATGGGGATTTCTCATTTCCCCTTCTAAAACTGTAGCTATTGTGTTTAGTAGAAAGAAAAAGTCTGAGAAGTTATTATTAACGTTAGGTATTTGTTTATTACAAGTAGTCAATGAGGTGAAATTTTTAGGAATAATTATTGATAGTAAATTGACTTGGTTAAAACATATACAATACATAGAGGCAAAATGCAGTAAAGTCTTAAATTGCATGAAACTTCTAAAAAGTACTAAGTGGGGAGCAAACATCCATTCTCTTAGAAACATATATATTGCACTTATAAGATCTAAAATAGACTACGGATGTGAAGTATATAACTCCGCCTCACATTCCGTAAAGACTGGAGCGGGTGCAAATTCAAGCACTTCGAATTTGTACCGGTTCATATAAAAATGTAGCCACAAGTAGACTGCAAGTAGAAATGGGTGACCCACCCTACGAAGAACGCAGGAAGTGTCTTATTACAAAATCTTTCTTGAACCTATCTAGTCATGAAGATAACCATCCAACTAAGGAAAGTTTAGCAAAAAAGGCAACATTTCTTTGCTACACCAGGGAAATAAAACAGAATAAAAAACCATATTTTGTTGTTTCAAAAGATATGATTAATCAACATGATATAGATATTAACCAAATATATAAATACATACAATTCCCAACACCCCCTTGGCATTTGACTAAACCCCGTGTATGTACACAACTCTCAAATCTCATCTCGAAAAAGGACAATCCAGTCTTAATTCGAAGTGAAAGTAATTTCATGATTGATACGCAGTATCGCCAGTTTCTAAAAATATATACGGACGGATCTAAAGATCTAAATTCTAATAAAACCTCATGTGCATTTGCAATACCTGAAATGGGAATAAAAAAAGGTTTCAAACTGCCTAAGATTATGTCCATTTTCACTTGTGAGCTTATGGCAATATTTCTGTCTCTTATATGGTTAGAAGAATTTAAACCAAATAATGTTATTGTGTTTGTCGACTCTTTATCAGCTCTCAAAGCCTCAAAGAGTAATTTATTTAAGGCAAAAATTATCTATTGTACGATATTATATTTGTATACAACCAGTTAGTCAAACTAGGTAGCAACATAAATTTTAAGTGGATCCCAAGCCACGTCGGAATTTTAGGAAATGAAATTGCAGACCAGACTGCCAAAGTGGCTCTTAATAAAGGTACAATAGATTGTCATATTCCCCTATATAAGGAAGACATCAAATGTTTAACAAAAACATTTTAAAACAAATTTGGCAAAAACTTTGGTCAGACAACCCAAAGGGAAGATTACTACACTCCTTCCAAAAAAATGTATCTTTTAAGATTACTATTGAATCACAAATGAATAGAGAAAATAAACGAATAATATTCAGATTAAGATCTGGCTCTATTAATGTCAATAAATATCTTCACAAAATAGGGAAAAGCCCGAATGAAATTTGTGAAAACTGCAAAAGTCAAAGACGGTGTTGTACACTTTCTATTAGTCTGCTCAAAAAATGATGTGCAACGAAAACAGATGTTTGATACGCTTAAAAATAATGGAGTCATAGATCTCTCATTGAAACACCTTCTATCCGGATACACACACACTTTAAGTTCCGTGCATAACTATCTACGGGAAACTAATATACTTATAAGAAAATAGGAAGACTCTCAACTATAAGTGTCATTTAGCTTTAGTTTAGATATTATAAAATAAACAATCATGTATTTGGAACCAGTGTATATGAATTACTTCTCAGATGGTCCCTCAAGTTAAATTATTTCATCAAGTTATACAACCAGCAAGATTAAAAATAAAAGAAAAACTCACCCGAATATGAATTCATTTCCTTTTTTAATATCCATAGAATAATGATAAGCGAGCCAGAAGTGCAATGCACACTTCACCTTTGTTTTAGTCCATTGAGCGTAATCAAACAGACTTTTTTCTACCTGTGTCATACATCAGTAAATCAATCACCTTTCAAACACCAGTACTAATTGACCATAAAATGCACGCTTTTTAATTTTAACAAGTATCAACATTCAATGTAAACACTCTGATCTATTGAAGATTAGTACACTAGATAAGTTAACAGCATATATTAAGGGAAAATACAACATCACTTTAAGATACTCTACAATGGACAATTACAGTCATATTTTTAGAAATTAAGAAGTAAAAACAACAAACACAACACACTATGCTCATGCATTTAACAATAGAAACATTTGCTACAGGCTTCTTTTTTTTATGAAAGTGCCACTGACATTTATCTTTATTATTCAACGTTATATGTAAAAGATGGAATGGAAAAGTAAGAACGAAGGAAAATACAATATGTCTTTTCAGATCTTCACAAACTGACAATTATAGTCATATTACTAGAAAATAAGAAAAACAAACAAACACAATCATTAAGCTCATATATTTTTTAGAATAGAAACAAGTGTTAAATCCTTTTCTTTGACAATAAAATGATAAAATCTAAAATTTGTACTAGAGGATGTCAGTTAGACAAACACACACAGATTATTGTATATATATATGCACATCCCAGCACATCTGTTTCGCTGACATTCTCTGTACTTACAACGAATTCAAACAATTGCATTGTTTTAATAATATACTGGTATTAATTTTTTTCATATTTTTCCATTTTTTATCCATTTATATATTACATATATATATATATATATATATATATATATCTAAATAGGTGATTGAGGGTGTAGGTAGGGGTGATTTCTCATTCAATGACAGAAGTGGTTTTTTTTCTCGTCAGGGAAGGAGGAATCACTTAATACCAGTATGTCTTTGGAAATTTATTTGGAAAAATTGACGCAACTTGCCGTTATGGAAAAGGAAAAACTACAATCAATCCTTACTTAAGGATTCTTTATTTGCTACATCAATCGTGGGCGACGTCCTTACATTGGTAGCATTTAACTAGCACATGTATTGTTTTATGTTTCTAAATATACTTTTTTTATATAAGTATATCACAGACGACACAAAGATGAACAACCAGATAAAATTTCTAAACAATTTTATGATACCTATCAATTAATAATGTAAATTTCATTAGGAACTATCATTTGCTTTTTATTTTCATTTTCCTATTACATGTACCTTCTGTTATGTGTTTTTTTTCTCTCTCTACATATAAATACTTTATTGTAACACAGTCAACCATGTTCGTCAAAGTTTCATATAATTATTCGCCAAAACGTAATACTAAAAATAAATTAAGGACTGAAAGTACATATACATAATATTTATGTTATATGAATTTAAGGCGCAATTACTACATAAGTAAGCCGCCTACCAAAACCAATAACAACAACAAGAAATTGATCCAAATGGTGTCAGGACAACTGTATTAAAGACTGTTCTAGAACAGTTTTACTGACCATTCCATACAATTTTACGAGTAATTTAAACTGATCTCAGCCGAATCAGAAATGGAAAGATCATTGGAAGACGCTTTCCGAAAAAGAAAGAAATAAATGTTTAAGTTTAGGTTTACTTTTCTATAGTTATATAGATATTTAAAGCAATAAAAGCATAAAAGATGAACAGAACGTTATTTTAACTTTTAGAAAATGTCCAGAAAGATAAAATCAACTTAACTTTCTCCAAACAAACTTATGCAATGCACTTTATTCATTTTCCGTTTAAGATTTTGAAGAAGATATACTTTTTTGAATGGAATATAGCAACGGCAATTTAAAATCTTCTTATTTCGACGGATCTAATGTTATTAAAGTAATCAGCCCGAATACAACCAATGGAATGGAGACACGGATGTACATTGTGGCACAATATACTGTTCAAATGATTTTAATATATTAATAGTCTCAGTATCACCAATAGCAAATTTTATACATACAGAAAAACGAGGAATTCTGGGTGTATTCCATTATGAAAAAAAAACGTAAGTTTATCACGAAAACGTCCGTAAGTGCTGAGTACAAAATGAATTTTAATGTTGGATGAGCAATCAACTAAATTTAAATGATGCATCCAACAAATTACACAACGAAATTATCCACCAGAGTTAAAATGAAGTGGTAGTAAAACTATAGGTAGTAATACGGCCTTCAACAATCGGAATAAACCATACCGTATAATGATCTATAAAAGGGCCCGACATGAAAAATGAAAACAACACATTATAAATTTCATACCTCCGAAGCGCTTTCCCTAATTTACCTTTATTAGGAACGCTCAAAGCCGAATATTTGATAGCCAAGGATGTATAAGAACTGAAACAGTTGAAAAGCTATAAAATAAAAAAGGACCTAAAATAATACCCAAATCCTTCTAAGGACAACTTTGCGTGAGGAAGTTGAAACCTTAGTTTCTTAATAATTTCAAAATTTAAAGGCGGACAATTTTAGAAAGGTGTGTTATAAATTATGTCAGTACCGAAGTACTGACTACTGAGCAGATGATACCCTCGGGGACTGACAGTCCACCAGCAAAGGTATCTTCCCAGTGTTGTAAAAATGAAAACAACAGGTTTTAAATTTCATGCGTCCGAAGTGCTTTTCTGGATTTTCCTTTATCAGGAACGCTCAAAGCCGAATATTTGAAAGTCAAGAATGTATAAGAACTGAAATTTTTTTTCTCAATATATTAAATAGTCTGTGGTCTAGGAATGTAAATGGAGAAAGAGTTTATAAAATTTCCAATGAACTTTTTCTAATATTTCATTATTTCGAAATCCCCAAATTTCACAGACAGAAAGCAAAACATTTTTTCGGAGTGGTTCATGTTGCTCAGTCTTTTGTTTTCTATGTTGTGTTAAAGAGACTGTTGTTTGTCTATTGGTGGTTTTTCGCATTTTGCTTTCAACCGTGTGAGACCCTCATGGGTAGTAAAGGTCGTTAAACACCCTCTCGTAGTATTATGACTGACTTATAGTGTTTAATGCAATTTTCAGCACTCTTGGCAATATCGTTGCGGCCAGGTTTTCTTCTTGGTGAAGGTAGCCGGAGTACATAGAGAGAATCACCGAACTTCGTTAATGCTAGTTTATTAAAATCGTCGATTGCCTCTGCTATTAGCGGAATTTTTGCAAGATTTTTTTGCATGTTTGTTTGAAATTTTAAGTCAGCCGTGTTTTATGTCTGTCTGTGATGTTTGTTTACACAGCTTTGGCTGCTGGATCCCAATTATTGTCAAGTTAACCTATTATGTTGCTCACCCAATTTTGTCAATATAACGGAATTACAAACAAGTGGAGGGTTAACTGGCTATAAAACCAATTTACCTTGGAGTTCGGTATTTTTATAATACTTTTTAGAACTCACCTCATTGTTGACAGGCTTATGATACCTGTAGATGAATTTCCTAAACCACTTGGCCACCGTGGTCCCCTATGAGACTGTGTATTTAGGATAAACGACTCATACATTGTAGTAACCAATATAGGTTATCACCAACGATATAAGTTCATCTTAAATAAACATCGAATAAAGATCAACACACACAATAGAATTTTCATATGCTGTGAAACTTCTAACTAACAAAAATCAAATATTTAAATTTATTACATAATGCTTCATATGATGTAAACTAGCAATATAGGAATCAACGGAAACTTGAGGTTGTCTACCATATATTGACCTTTTCCCCGATATTGAAACAAATGGACGACCTTAAGGTTGTCAGAAATCTATAACAATCGGAATGATTAAAAGTCCATTAGTAAACATCCCATTTCCTAGCAGTGGCATACCATATGTCCTATCGTATGGCGTTTACAAATTTCATCCATATTCACACAAAAACAGACTTCATTTTAACAAAACCTACACCAAAAGAGTTATAAGGATAAACGACTGAAATCGATACAACATCAGTTTTACGGTCATCATCATGATATGGCTGAATTATACAATATGTGTGTCTCAACTCACTGGTGACATGATTTTGTAAAGCTAAATTTAAGTGTGCGGTATGTTGAAATAGCACCGGTCGTAGCGATGCGTATTTTTTAACAATCGTATGCCACAAAAATGATATTTGTTTTGATCGAAAGGTAGGCGTTCGCCCACAAAGCCTCACCATCTGAATCCTCCACTGTACTGTATGAAATTCGTAGAAAGATCATCACATGGATTTATATATAAGTTTGGGTTGTATATTCATCCTGAAAGCACAAGTTCCTTAAATTGCCATAACATATGGAAACCCAATGTCATGTGTGTAGATGTCAAGAAAGGTTTTACTCAATTGTTACGGAAATTTTATGATGCATGTATGTTAAACAATGTTTCTGCTAAAGTTTATTAAAAAAAGTCGACGGACATCCACATATAGCAAAGATTATATAATAGTTCATTATCTTCTTAAGTGAAACATTTATAAAACGAATGGTCTCCTTTTAATGTTTATTTGTTACAAAGAATTGTCGTATTCGATCCATTTGGACAGCTACATATTTCACGTCATTAGAGACAACAAGCAAACGACATAAATAACAAAACAGTTCTAAATACCAAGATACATTATAAGCTGCAGACAGTTGTACAAGTTGTACTATCGTTTCTTGCTTTCACGCGCAAACGAAAATATAAGCGTGGCTATTCATGCGTTTCAAATTTGATAATGTGATTTGATTGAGGTGATTTGATATTGATCTGGCTCTCATTTGTCGCTATTATGTATGTACTTAACATAAATATGATCTAGTAGGTAGTCTTTTTAAATGTGTATGCACTTCTTTTAATATTAAGAAAAATGAGGCAAGAAGGGGATGTATATTATTCTTCACTAAATTGTAGCTTATATCACGCATTTTTCAACAAAATAAAAGAATAAACAAAAGTTTGGGTTTGTGTAAAATGTCAAAGAAGTGAATGAAAACATGAAATTTAAACAGAATATTATCTGATAGCTATCACATAACATTAATTGTACCAATTCAACTGCACCTTCTGCGTATTTCGACATCTCTTCAGTAATGCTCGAGGCTAAAATATATGATTATTCAAATCTAATTCACAAATGAAAGAACTGATAAAACCAAAAAGGGGAAAAAGATAGCCAAAGCAGGGCAAAGAATCAGAGTTTTTCATGGGGAAGATATATTGTTTCATTTAAGATAATGTCCGAATTTTGAGGATACCTGTAATCAAGTGATGCACGAGGCCAAACTATTTCAGTTGCATTTCAAAAATTGAAGATCTGACGACAGCAAAAAACAAAACAAAAAAGAAAAGTAAAATCAGGGAAAAAAATTAGAGCTTTGCATGAGTGAGAAATATTTCTTTATCTAACCTAATTTCCAAAACTTTGTAACAACCAATTGCAAGCATCAAAAATACATATAAACAAAGCAACATCTGATTTTCATTCCAGTAGCGTACTACTAGCTGCTGGATTAAAGTGCTTCCAGGAAATAAAAGGAAAATATGGCGTCATCGTTTTTGTTATTTTTTTCAAACAAAACAAATAAGGTAAATGTACTTGCATTCCGTCAGAAAGTTTAAGTTCCTGATTTATCTTCCCTTATATGAGGGTGTGGATGGGGGTTTACAGAACAGAGAACAATGGGCAAAAAATATAAAGAATAAAGAAAAATGGACTAAACAAATAAAGAATAGAGAATAATGAGGTGCTTAAAATTAAAGAATACAGTAATAAGGGACTCCCCCACCCTCTCACCACCACCGTTAAGATGAAAACTTCCTATTGAAATAAATGTAAGGGAAAACATATCAACAATAAAAAATAGTTGAATACCAATATACCGAGACAAACATACACTGCAAATATTAATCAAAACGTGTCTACATTAACAGTATGTTCACAACAATCTTTTCGGTGTTTGGTATCAAATAGTTGTTTATCAGTTTAATTCATAAATATGTTATTTATCAAGCAGATATATCACATCTTCTTCTAACGGCGACTACTTTATCATACAGTTCAAACATTATTTTCATCATTTTAGTATCACTATGTTTGGAAAATGTCATACATACATCCGTAGTATTGTTTGAGCTCTTACATTTTCTGTAGTGATACAATATTACATTTTGCGACCGTAGTCTAATCCTGTAACAAAAGAAAATTGTTCTAAATTAAAAAAAAAATAGAGTAATGTAAATGAATAATTGTAATGGAAATTGTATAAATTTTTTAATGTATGAATAAAAAGCTTAGATTGCTTGGGTATGCAGCAAAAAGACCAATAGGACAGTAACAAAACGACACAAAAACCAAGAAAACTAGAGGTTGATATACAACCAGAGACAAATGTGTATGATGTAGCTACATTCCACATTGAAACGAACGTCACTTGTATCAATGCAATTTGTCTGCAAAGTTATAGAAATTTGTTAAACTTCTTCTTATTTCAATAAAATCTTATATATATTGTTGAATATAAAAAGGGAGAAGTGGTATGATTGCCAATGAGACAACTATCCACGAAAGTTCAAATGAAGTTGACATACAATTACAGGCAACCGTACGGCCTTCAACAATGAGAAAAACCCATTAGATGTATAGACGAAGTGATAATATTTATAATTAAAATGTCATTTCACTTTGTATTTTACTAATGAACATAATTTCGCTCAATGAAAATATCAAAAAGCTCAAATTTGTTTTTGTTTTTGTCTGTAAGAAAATCATACTTTTCTCAGACTACCTGGAATCATCCCATTGAACATTTTACGGACAGCATCACGAGTTGGTCGACCGTTGCGGAATACCACAGATGCCGACGGATATGTTCCAATCGTCGTGCCCAAAATTGCGCCCTCCTTTTCCCCTAATGTGACCTACCGAATTAGACTTATCACCGGATTTGTACATACATCGGCGTCACGACGGTTGCAACATGTGGAACAGGATCTGTTAACCCTCCCAGAGCACTTGCTATCACTCCCGGTTTTTGATGGGGTACGTGTTTCCCAGTAGTTGGTAGCACTCCACATTTAGGTGTGTGGTTTTGCATTCTAGTCCCGTTGTATTTTTCAAATATGCAATGAAAATCGATTTTGGATAGCTGAAGATTAATTAAGCCTTTAAAACTGGTTTATATGAACATCAAGATTGTGTAATGTAATATTATTGACTGTTTTCTTTATGAGAGTCTGTATTTTCATATCAATACTAGACATTGGATCAGACATTATTATAATGATCGTTACAACCTGTTTGTCGCACGAACTTTGGGATTCAATTTTACGAAAAATTGAGGCGAAAGACACCCAATTTTTATTTGATCATTTGATAGATTTATGTCAATAGTTTCAGAATATGTATTTCTAAAAGGGTTGCAATTCTAGTTTGATCCAAAGTTTAGGGGAATATGTGACATTTCCATGCTCCTTTTTACAATATTTTATGGTAACCAAATGCAGAATGATGACATGGATACACAAAAAAGGAATTATACTTCACCATTTTAAATGTTGAAAATCAATCTAGGGATGATACTGATTACATACATATGCACATGTAAACACAAACAGTTGGCTTAATGTATTAGAAAGCTAGGAATAGAAGATGATTAAACTTTTTGTGGGTCAGTTTTATTTTATTTCCTAACTGTCGCTACCTTTAGTTTTCTATGTTGTGTTTTCTGTATACTGTTGTTTGTCTCATGATTTTTTTTTTCGTGGCGTTGTCAGTTTATTTCGACTTTTGAGTCGAGTTTGCATATCCCGTTAGTATCTTTCGTCTCTCTTTACGTCTTCCCGCTAAACTTGAGAAAGACAACAGTTGTATACTGATGATCAAATTTTATTAGTCCATTAATAATATACAAATCAAGGTTAACATTCAGAACATGAGGGGTTGCATTCATTTCTTAAGGAGCAAGACCTGGTACGTAAGAGCCTCCTTCTACTAATTCATCCCCGCCATACGAATTCATACTCAGTCAAAATTCTGTAATTGGGCTTAGGACAAAATGGGTAGATTAACCGATCAGACAACTATTCCGGTATCTAAAGCTATAGGTCAGACAACACGTGTCCTAGTGAGTTGAGACACAGACATATCGTACCGTTTTATTAATTCGTGATGGTGACCGTAAGAGTTAATTCTAGTCGTTTTTCCTTTTAACTCTGTTAGAGCAGCTTTTCTGTAAAAAGCACATCCCTGTCAACGAACTCCATTAAGTGTGAATTTTCACAAGCGTAGTGTATTAATTGAGATATGAAGATGACATGCGCTAGGGGGAGCGTATGTTACTGCTGCGAAATGAGAAGTTTACAATTGGAAAGTTGAAAACTTCAATTTTGATATAGGTTTTTGTTTGAAGTCTTTCATGAGAGTATTTAATTGAGGAAGAGATTAAGCTAAACTCATCATTGATTCCAGGATTAAAATTGTATACGCCAGACGCGCGTTTCGTCTACTTAAGACTCATCAGTAACGCTCGAATTAAAACAAAAGCCAAATAAAGTATGTTGTTTAAGAGCATTGAGAACATGGATCAGACATTCTAGTTTTGATAATATTCTTCATTTCAAATCAATTGGAGAACAGAGATTTACAATCTCGAAAATGTTGGTTATTGAGTGAGGACAGCATCTATTATTCTTTAAGAGAAATCAACTTTCTGAGATGTTTTTGTTTTTCGTTTGAGATGGTTCTTTATCAGTTCTGCTTCATACAAGTCAAACAACGAGGTGGTCAGTAGGAATTCACAATTAGCAACCATTTGAATACTGACAGTATGTTAAACTTTCAATCCGCCAAACTCAACAAATATGTTGTCGATTAAAAAGTCCAGCATTTTTATGATATCATTGTCGATGTATTTGGTGTTGGAATCAGTGTGGTTTGTCACAAATTAAGATGACCTTATACAAGGAATTTGTATGTATGATTCCTTTTTTGCTAGGGAAAAATGGAATCGTAGTGTAGATGCGTTTCATGTGTTTATGAAAAACTGTGGATTCACTTATGTTCGTGGGACCCAATTTTATAGGAATAATTAACAATTGTATGTTAATGGTATGTTCGTAAACCGGTGTTTAAGGATAGGACTTGAATGCTTAGAAAACACGATTAACTTAGTCATTTTCTTCTAATGTCTGATTAGGCAACACAAAGAGCTAATAATTTATTAGTTATTGTTTGATGTGGCTTGCCATTATTTATTTTGTTGTTTAATGTCATTAGACTAAGTTAGACTGTCAGTTAATTTGTGTCTATATCAATTCACATTCATATCTTGTTGATGCGAGGATTTTTATAGCATACTATACGTTTTGGGTTGTTCATTGTTGAATGCCTTACGTTGACTTGTTGTTGTTTACATATTTATATAGTTGTATAGTCTTTAGTGGATACATTTCTCATACAACATCTCTATTTTTTTCCATTCACTGCATTTATAAATAACCATTGCATCGAGTATAAGTTTTAAAAACACACTTTCTCAAGATCGTAACGTGCGATATAAAAGGAAGATCTTGGTAATAATCATAGTATTAACAATTGAAGTTCATCAAAAAATTAAAATTTAAGAGAAAATCACAATGCTATCTATTAGATGTTATAAAATATTGCTATGAAGCTCAGAAAGTTAACATTCAATTCGTATTCATGTAACTAATGCATGTGTTATTGCATTTTTTTTAACGAAATGCAATTATATATTACCAAATCAAAACAGGTAAAAATAGAATTATAAAAATAATTATATATTAAACATTGCACTAAACACTTATACCAAACAAATTGAATGAAATGCAAATCCAATTTAACACATACAAACTCATTAAATATACCAGGGTTTTAATCTAAAAAAACCAGATGCCCCTTTACCTACATACGACTCATCAATAGCGCTCGAATCAAATCAGTTGTAAGGCCAAATCATATACGAAATTGATGGAAATTTAATCCGAAATTCCGAAAACGTTGTTCCAAATACAAATAATGCAATATATGCCTGGAGGAAGAAAACCCTTATAGTATCGAGTAATCGAGCAACAAAAATTATACAGAAAATGAACATTTCAATGAAATGTAATGTCAATACAAAAGGGCTGACGTGGGCTGGTGATACCCTCATGAACACAAAAATGTTGAGATGCGATATGTTTGCCATGGACACAATTATCTATCAAAGACAAACAATACAAGGAGCAACTGTGTATCCCCGTACGTCTCTTCAACAATGAGTTTAAGGATGTACACCTCTAAGGAGCCAAAAAATTCTAGAATTAAACTTTTTTTTTAAACTGATTTTTTGGTTTATATGACTGTTAGAAAGTAATTAATGAAGAAAAATCATATGGTGGTGAACTTTTTTTTTTGTTACGGCCATTTGAAAGTACCCCATTTCTATGAATTTCCCAATTTTCATCAATTTTTCCTATTTTTGAGCTATTATCGTGAAAAAAATCACAGTTTCACAATTAAACTTTTTTCTTTCACTAAAGATGAAGTGGACCAATCTGAATAAATTTAACTTAAAAAAAACTATAGATAGGTGTTAATATAAGAAAGTTTTATAAAATTTTGTTGTTTTTTCGTGTCAAATTGACCATGATGTAAATTTGGTAAGTTTGGGATTTTTCTCTTTTTTTTAAGAACAAAAAGCATATTATATCAACTTCTTTGTTATGAATGATTGAAAAAATACATAGTTAAGAATTTTGAAAAGAAAAAATTGATATGGCATGTACATTTTTTTTGGTATAATCATTCCTTTGCACACTTCACCAATTTTCCACTTTTATCACATGTTTTGGAAATAATTCCCGAACGAGATTTCAACGAGACTGAAACATCAGAAGAATACATCCTTATGTTTTATGTGCACAAAATACTTTCAGTGTTTAAGTAAATGAAAAGTACCTTCGATATCCTTTAATTGGCCACACCACATGTGTATCCATGGTAGCAGTTCTGTTAGGCAAATATATATTTTTATATCGATTGAAAAGGGGCTTTGATCTTCTTATGTATTTACTGGTTATTAGAGGTTCGACTCCTGAAACTCCCCAATCTGTTATGAAGAATGATACTCTCATGGTGAAAGCAGCAGCATCCGGAAAAGCTGGTAACAACTCTGACTAAAGACAAATATATATTAAAAGACCAAGAATGACAATAAAATACAATATTGATAGAAATGAATAGCTTTGGTGTTATTAATGTTATTAATTTTATTATCTTGTAAAATTAAATCAAATATCTAAGGAAATGTAAACAAGTCCTGTGTACCACATCAAATATTTTCCGTTTGAATGTCAAATCGTCGAAGCAACTGTGAGTCTAAAGAAGGTTGTATATGTTCCTGTCATAGAGAATTCATATTACTTCGAAATTAACTAATTGATTCACCTTTTAGGGCAAGACATTCGTGTATCTTACTGCGATATATCATTTTAAATGCGAATCAACCTTACAAGTTCTTCGTCTCAATGTTTTTACAAAGAAACCACAAATATTAGTATTTTGTTCTAATAATATTTGGTTTCAACTTACCACTGATCAAATCAACAACACAGTTTCTAATGTGATATTAATGAGGCGGTAAAATTTGAAAATTCAACATTAAATCAATTTCAATAGATTTAGATTGATGCAGGACTATTCCATTACTGGTAAAAGAAATATTCTACCTACTATCTGTATCAATTATCCCTCCATCTTGTCCCCGATTGGGACATCATCGAGTCACGTGATTTTCAGAATAAACCTTCAACCAGAAAGCCCGATTCAACTTTTAGGAATTTTTGGTCCTCAATGCTCTTCAACTTCGTACTTCATTTGGTCTTTTTAACTTTTTTAAATTCGAGCGTGACATGTTCATCACCATCTGCATCAATTTTGAAATCAAAAGAGTTTAAGTTCAACTGGTCATGAAACTATAAACCCCTAGACACAAAATGTATGGCAAGACAATACCACAGTTTTATTCTTAATAGAACAGGATCTTTAATGCCCTTGAAAATTTATATACTAATCAACCAGAGGTCTTCAAGCTCTATAATGTCCTGGGTCTGTAGTCAAGCTGATGGACCTGGCTGAATTATTTCTTGTAACTCAGATGGTGGTAGGTTCTGCTTAGGAAAAAGCTCTATTTCTGTGTATAGTAAATCAACAGGTTGCAGCTCAAAAAGGCCTATGTTAGCTAGAATATATTATTCATCGTCGGATGATATTTCTGTTGGTAGATTCACCAGATATTTACCCAGACTGTCCTGATCAAACATTGCTGATTCGAAAACTTGCTATCAGCAGTTACAGACGATTTTTCTAGTATTAACGTCCGATATTAAAACACCAGCTAGTTTTTCTAACGATCTATTCGACAGCATTTCTTTCTTTGAGTTATTGATATAATATTTATTATTTTGTTGGATTTGTTAAAACAAACTTTATTAATTATGAATAATACTGACCGATATGAAATTTATATCTAATTTAATTATATAGAATTGAATTAAAAATTTCTTTGTAAATATTTGTATCAGTTCGGCGAAGACCATTTCAGAATTTTTCGGGGGAAAAGGGGGGGGGTTAAAAAAATGTTTAATCACTGTATCGGGGGGCTCATGTGGCTAACAAAAACCAATCTAGTAAATGTAAATAAATTCATTATTGGCACCAGACGTATTCAATATAACGCAATGAAATGCCAAAAATTATGGATTTTAGGCTCACTGACAAATCATACTTAATCGTCAGGGATGTTCATTCACTGATATTTCCAACTCTAACAACCACATGTCTTTCGACAATTTTTCAATACAAAAAGAACATCCAACCCCGTCAACTTTCTGCAGACAACTATCTAAACAACTATCTACCCGTAAAACGAAAACAATAATCAAACGTGCATGACCAGCGGGAAATCTACATGGACTAAACTCATTTGCATAATAATGCCAGAATAATTCACATTATATAAGGAGACCAGTTTCTATACAATGAGTTCTAACACTTTAATTAAGTAATTCAAACAATTTATTAAAACATTCAATTTATTTTCTGACTTTTTTATTTCTATAGCGATAGTTTCACAATAACTATATAGAATATTTTTCAGTAACTTTTATTTCATAAAATAAAACACATATATAAAAATGAATTCACAAGCATCACAAGACCACTAAAATTGCCACTTCTACATTACCAATTTAAAAAGATGTTTATATTTGTTTCAGGAGGGAAGTGAGAAAAAATCGTTTGATTTCATTGACAATGAGGGCGGGGGGATTCAACATGGAGTTTAAAAATGTTCCTGTATGTTATTTAAAAAAAAAAATGTTTGGTAATACAAAATGGTTTGTGCCACGCAGAGGAAAAGATCGCTACCTTGAAAAAATTGTCTACTGATTTATAAAACTTTGAGATGATAAAGATGTCACGATTGCGCAGGCTAATACAGCGTAACAATAGATGAAAAACTTGATTGATAGTTGGTTGCTTAACGTCCAGCGGCAAATATTTCATGCATGTTTAGGATGAGAACAAATGCACTAAAAATACACCAGATAGTTCCTGTAATAGAGGAATTAAGATCGGGGAAATGCGGACTGGCGTTGGGAGAGTATAATGGTCTGGTTGAATCCACCATATTCTACATAAGGAAATGCCTGTACCATGCCAGGAATATGACAGTTGTTTTCCATTCGTTTGATGTGTTTGAGCTTGATAAGGGACTTTCCGTTTTGGATTTTCCTTGAAGTTTGGTATTTTTGTTATATTACTTATTGGATAAGGACAGAAAATTTGTCTTTCAATAGGTTCCCTATATTTGTCAAGGGTTTTAGTGCCGATCGGAAGAGGATCTATGTTACCATATTTCTTTTCCCCAGTCAACCTTGGGGTGATGTTGGAAATGAATATTCTGGACTGGTACTAACTGTAAAAAATAACCTTGTCCAAGACAGGATGAAAATGAATATTTTGTCCAACAAAATGCAGGACTTTGCAAGAAATAGTTGTGAACAAAATTGAAAATAATTTTCGCGTAAATAAATAAGCCGTTCTATCAACAGGTGTAAAATGAATGTTCCAACAGCAAATAAAATCTCACCTCACACTGAAAATCAAATGGTCTACTAAGGCTATTTCGATTTAATCATGCTTTTGACTGAGGATTTTTGTAGTTTTTGACATATAAATAGGTAAATAACTTAATTCACAATATCATTGTTATCATTTTTATTCAATATGTAACTTCCTCAATGTGAACACGGCCTACGTTATAATTCATGTCAGTACGGAATCAATGACTACTGAGCTGATGATCTTATAACCGAATTAATATTGAGTAGAGCAGCAAGATGGGTACCACTGCTAGATCAGTAACTGCTTTACCTTCTAGAAAACATTAGTTCAACCAATGTGTATTGTTGGAATTCGTATGTTTGAATCTAGTTTTCAATGTAGTGATTAATTGTGTGATCATTTCTTTTCCGATTTATTTTTATTTTTTCATGGCCTTTCCTCAATCTTTTACTTTTTTAACTGTCTTCTTTGTATTTTCTCACCTACATTTTGTTCCAGTCATGCCCTTAATTGTTTATAACTGGAAACTGAAAACAACATTACTTACCATCGGATAGTCTGCTTGTTAGGAGCAACAAGTAATGGTAGTGGAACATGAAAAGCTCCAAAAACATTAGGGCGTACACCCATTTCAATAATATAATCAAATTCATAACAGTGTTGACGAGACCATTCGTTGGCGAGTTCAATTATCCAATTGACTGGGTCAGATCAGGAAACCGTTTGTCTGTTATGCCCACTTAATACATTGTTTTACAAGGGACATTTAAACGTACGGGGTCGCCAAAGGGTTCTCAACGCCTGAAAACAAGTAACTTTAAAAAAATTCTACAGGCGTATTGATTAACATTAAATATTTTGACATTCTTCACCGATAATCGATAATCAAATTATTTATCATATCGCACTTTCTTTAAACATTAAAATACATTTTCACTAGCTTCAAAAGTAGTAATGAATGTGCTAGCAATAAGCTTTTTCGGACTTCAAAGCGATTTTACAATTGTCGTTTTCTAAAATTTATATTCATTTTTGGCTCTTCGTATCTTTCAACTTTTATCTTGTCTAAAAGTATTTATTTTTGGAACGAATGCATGGTAAACTTTAAATCGTGGTGCAATTAAAAAAACATATATACACTTTTGTACGGTCTTTTTCGTACCTGCAAAATATAGGACAGTAAAAAGATATAAGAAGATGTGGTATGAGTGCCAATGAGACAACTCTCCATCCAAGTAAAGTGCTACATGTATTTGGATCTAGCTTAATACAATTTGCATTTACTTTCTGAAATAGGAATCTTTAAACTCAATATCATAATATAATTAATTGTTGAATAAATTTATTTACCAGAAAACTAGAATTCAAATTAGTTGGACAAACGTTCTATTGACTGACTCAGCATTCGGACTAGGTCTTGAAAATTATTCAGAATGATACATTATAGTTTGATGAATGGGAAACTAGAATTTTTCTCCTAACCACTTTATTTGATAAAAATTCATGCTTGATTGCAGAATCATATTCCTTAGTTTATGATAACGCACATACCACTCATTTGTTCTGAGTGTTCTTTCTTTTTTTTTGGGGGGGGGGGGGATTTGGTTCGTTTCTTATGAATATACACTACAGGAACAATAATTTTTATCTTAGTGTCGTATTTTTTTTTGTCCCAAATCCTAAATTGAAATTAGTTAGTTTTTTCACCTTTTTTCTGAATGATTGAGGACCGCTAAAAAATATATGCATATCCCTCCAAAACAGAAATACATTTAATCATGTCGGATACACTATCATTCATTGCCATACTAACGTTCCCGCTATTATAATTTTTGTTTGTTTGCATAATAAGTAATATGTGTTGCTTAGAGAATTGACCAATCCATTGAATGAAGCTTCATATATAGTTAATGCATATATAGACATTTTACTTGTCCCACTCCTAACGTTGTCTAGTTCCCCCTTTCAAAATCCTGGATCCGCATCTGATTTCCTTATACGGATATGCAATATTTAGCATTCTAATGCTCCCGCCAATACATCTATATAAGAAGATGTATTATGAGTGCCAATGAGACAACTAGCCATCCATGTTAATGTGTACAAAGTAAACAATTATAGGTCAAAGTACGGCCTTCAACACGGAGCCCTGGCTTACACCGAACAGCAAGCTATAAAGGGCTCCATGCATTTATCAGTTTTAGTTTACAAATAATGCATTTTTCTGGGCTATTTAACGACCAATCCACTGAACGGGTTAAAATGCATGAAAGACTACTTTGAGTTAACAGTTGTTTATAACTGCATGACATACAACACAATTTTTAGCACATAGCCGAAAAAATTTGATCTTTATACCTTTTCTTCATTTGTGTTTACATTTATGATACACAATATGTTGTTCTATGCTCAAATTCACGAATAATTACTTCGTTGCTATATATATGAAAAACGTTTTTTAAATACTCGAATCATAGCCACTAATATTATAAATATAAACAAAGAAAATTCACGAAAAAAGCGAAATACCCGAACTACAACCACAAGGATGAACACACAGAATAAATGTATTCGTTTCACGAATTAGAAGCCAATTGACAAAGACATAAAAACTCTAAAGTCATATACGTGATGCATCCAGGTTCCGAAAACGGGAAACGCATGAACTTTTCAGTTATCCAGTAAAACTGGGAAAGCGATTGTCAAATTTCCGCAAAATGGACTAAAAATTGAAAAATAATAGTTTTTTATTTTTGTTAATTTGTTACTTCTTTTGACTTTTGATTTATTCATTCATTTTCAATTTCTGTTTTTGCTACCAATAAACTGTACCGGTTTCCCCTTTACATAAAGCATTATACACTTAGAAAAGTTTTTTTGTCATTCAGCTTTACCTTTAGAAATATACTTAAATAGAGACAATTGAGTAATACTATTGTACTTGAATATCCAAAGCAAACTGGCCGTATGAGTCTTCTAAATGACTGAACGATTCAAATGATGTGCCATACGAAAGACTTTTTTTTCTTTTTCCTGAGCTCTTTTCACAAACAAATCTTATCCATTGAATAAACGGTATGTTATTTTTAAATTTTACCAACGTGGGAGTATTTTTTCCTTTGTAAGACATTTTTTTTTTTGCGAAATAACCCCATAAACTTGTAGATTTTTTTTTAATTAAAATCGCAATGTTTTACATGTAATATATTTTTCTATAATGTAATGATATAAGCTCTGCACATTTATTGTTATTTCAAATGAAACTGTTGGGTGTGATGATAAAAAGAAAGTTTAAAACAAATTTCTTTTAAATTTTGTTGAAAGAAAGTTTAATTCTATGTATCGCAATGCGAAACAAGTGATTTTTGACATCCCCACTGGAGGGCCTCTGACAGACTGTGTGAGCGTCAAATCATTGTTATCGATAGCCGATGACAAACATGTTAAACCAGTTGTTAGCATGACACGGGTTATGTTCTTCTCGTATATTTTATGATGGTATAATACTAAACCCCTAACAGGAGGGATTGTGCCTGATATTCATATGATGAAGACATAATCTTTCAATCAGTTTAATTGAGGTCTGGAGCTGGCATGTCAGTAACTGCTAGTAGTCTGTTGTTATTTATGTATTATTGTCATTTTGTTTTTTTCTTTTGTTTCCTATTCTGACATCGGACTCGGAATTCTCTTAAACTGAGTTTTACTGTGCGTACTGTTGTACGTTTGTTTTTTCTGCATTGGCTAGAGGTATAGGGGGAGGGTTGAGATCTCAAAAAACATGTTTAACCCCGCCGCATTTTTGCGCCTGTCCCAAGTCAGGAGCCTCTGGCCTTTGTTAGTCTTGTATCATTTTTAATTTTAGTTTCTTGTGTATAATTTGGAGTTTAGTATGACGCCCATTATCACTGAACTAGTATACATATTTGTTTAGGGGCCAGCTGAAGGACGCCTCCGGGTTTGCGGGAGTTTCTCGCTGCATTGAAGACCCATTGGTGGCCTGCGGCTGTTGTCTGCTCTATGGTCGGGTTGTTGCCTCTTTGACACATTCCCCATTTCCATTCTCAATTTTAAAGGTAAATGATTCGCTATTATTAAGAACATAAGCATTGTTGTCGTCCACACTTTTACGGGATTGCCTCTATATATATCCTGAAGTATTTTAGAAAACGATACACAACATAAACTCCACTGAAACTATAGCTAAATAAATGTATTCTTTGACTCTGGATATCAGATGATAGATTCTAGAGGCTGGGAATGACACGAAAAGTTCAAGCGTGGGGACAGTAGAACCGGAAGCCATTTAAACAGAGTAGGGGGAACAGAAAGGCGATATAAAGACTATGGTTTATTTGAAACGCCATATGTATGATATTTTGCATATATATATATGCCTATATATTCAAAAAGCTTAAAATTTGGAATCGAGAATTATCGATCTACCGTTATTTACCTTTAGCATTTCTGTGTATATGGAGAAATTTCCATGGACAATGTACTCGTCTACATCTACTACCGCCACATATTCGAATCCTTGTAAAATTTCTTTGCATGAATACACTGCGACCTGTTCATCGTGTGTACTTTGATGGTAATGCCATTTATGCGGTGCGAAACCGCGGTCTAAAAAAGATTTAAACCTTTTCCATTTAATCGGCAATACATTTTGTCAAACTTTGTGTTTGAATGATAAAGATATTATAGCATGCGATAATTGTATAATATTTGTGTAAATACTACGATAACTGTGTAGTCAGTACTTCCCTTTCGTTTGTACTTAAAATCAACATTTATTAAACCCAAATGGCGAAAAAAAACTTAGAAAGTGATTGATTAAAACAGTGGTCTTACTATTCACTAATTTTTGTATGATACACAGTGTGTGATTGTTTCATATTTTCAGTTATATTTAAAAAAAAATGTATTAGATATCACTTATTATGGCATTGAATTCCTACAAAGTTTTACAGTTCACCTCTATTTGTAGATAAAATGACTAATTGTATGATAAATTATTAAAAAAGATATATTTCTTGTGAAGAGGTTACTGCAATAATTGTGCATTATTCAAACTTATAAATTTGTATTGTATCTAGATTAAGATATCACACACATGACTGTTCTTTATATGTTGGGGCAAATAATGATTTGTTTTCATTCTTTGCTAACTATAAAAGCAACGAAATATAAAAACAAATTTAGATAAAAGACCATAAGCAGGAACGCAAATTTATTGCAGCATTTCTTAAATACATTTTAATTCATGAATACTTTGTTACCTTAGTTTACATTTGTTATCAACTTCTTAGCATGTTCAAACTTTGCATAATATTGTGTCCGTGTAAAACGTAAAAGAACGAATGTTGTTAAAGTGTGTATTCCTACATAACTGTAGCTACTTATTATGACCATTTAAACGAAACATCTTCATAACACAAAGTAACGTCATACCACCACTACATTGTTGGCTGCTCTGTCGGCCGGTACGACGCAAACCACAAGACCTCGCTGTTAGTTTCTTATTATAGAAATGAGCGTATTATTCCCATTTTGATATTGTTTTTATTATGAATACTTACAATGTTAAAACATGTTTGCGATTAGATTCAGGTGTTTTATCAGCTTCCAACTGTTAACACCATTTTTTACAAAAGGTTGAAAGAGCGGTTTAATTGACATGACGACATACGGTTGGACGAGGATATTTTGGTCCATTTTTAAGAGTTAAAACCTCTCGATCTTGAAGGATGTTGAAGTCAACTGTAATCTAATGGTCATCGGGATCATATCAAAACTTCCGTGTTCCACAGCCTTATGTTGATGCAGCTTTATTTTCTATACTGACGTCTGATATGACTACTGAAACTAATTTCTGCTGGATTTTGTATATGTATACGAAATAAAAAGGAGTTCTATCTTATCAAAAATAGATGTATAAATTTCTGAATAGCACAGTAATTAAATATACAATCTAGATAAGTTGATAAAATCAATACTTTTATAAATGATTTAACTAAAACAAAATGTGTTTTATGGTCTGCAGGTTAAGCAAATCGCAGGAACAGTCAAAATGACAAAAACAATATTATATCACTCTTGTTGATAATAAAGTAATTTTTTAATTAGTTTTTAACTTAATTTGCAAGATGATTGGTGTTTTCAGATAAAGATAAGAACATCATCTGTGTATTGACTATACGATTTTATATTCGATTACATTTGGTAAGAATATAGTGAGAACTATTCTAACCTTGTCTTTTATCAATAATATTCATGACAGAGAAAGTTCCAGATATGTTTCCTTCAATCCAGGACAGTTGGTAAATTTTACGGAAATCTTCAAATTGTTAATGATATTATCGTTTGTGTTTCTAGACCTTTATAGACGTCTCCGAGTAGCTTAAAGTTTATGAAATTGATACAATATGCTTGTGTTTAACAAATATTAGTGTTGGATTGCTTAGATTTGCATACGCAGTATAAATGTTTTGTGGTCTTTAGAAATTATGTCGAGTATTGAATTGTATTCGATGAACGTTTATTTAAGTTACCGAAAACTATCGATTTCCCTAAACCACGAAAATGTTTTTCATTACAATGAGAAAATACCTAATAGATAAATATTCGGCTTCTGTTTCATAATAATACAAGATGGTCTCAAGTTATAGATTATATGTACTGAAGTTGTGTGTTCCCTTTATTTAGCTATGTGCTATAATATTCCTGTTGGTCGTATAACTCTTGATGTGACTCGATATTCATGCATTCAGACACCGGTTTTTTTCGTTTGGGTGAACCTGGTGCAGTTGGATCCCGTAATGCCATTCGGACGCAATTGGTTTTTACAATGTTGTTTTCATATTATTATCCTTTGTCTTAATATTTTACTTAATTTGTACTTTATCGAGAAAGTGTTTACTTTATACTGTATGAACTACCAACTTTTGTGTTGGTGTCTTAGATGTTGATGTCTTCAGAATCTGTTATGTTGGCGTCTTGGATGTGTTAGATATGTTTGCATGTTTGTTTGAATTGTTTAGTCAGTGTTGTTTGTCTGTGATGTATGTTTATATAGTTTTAGCTGTTGGATCCAAATTATTGTCACATTAACCTGCTTTATAGATATAAGAAGATGTTTTTGAGTGCCAATGAGACAACTCTGTTTGTTTGTGTAGCTCACCCAATTCTTTACTATAACGAAACTATAAACAACTGTCATACTATTAGGAGGTTTAGCTAGATATAAAACCAGGTTGAAACCTCCATTTACTTCGGAAAATTTCTGTAGCAAGTCATGAAGATGACGATTGTTTTCCATTCGTTCCTTTGGTTGCTAAAGTCTCACGTTTGATTTTGTCAGTTTGTATAGACTTCTTCTTTTTTTAATTAACATTGGAGTATATGGTATTTTTGTTATACTTTTTTCTATATTTGAGGATTTGAAAGTGTTTTCTGGTTTTTAAATTGATGTGATTATTTTCAATGCATGTTTAACTTGTACAAAGCATCATTGACGCAGTGAAAGCGCTAAGATATCATAAAGACCTATTGATTACCATTGGAGTTGACATGAAAAAACCTCATGGGGTCAATTGTGCTTAACATGACTACGGAATAAGAATAAGATGTTGAATAATCGAAAATGAGCCATATCCCACAGAGACAAAATACGTAGATATAATCAGGTATAAGACACCGATTGGCCTCAAAAAATGAACAAAACCCATGCCAAACAAACTTGCCAACGGCTTGATTTAATTACAATACGATTATCGCCAGCGCACATCGATAAACACTACATTACAGGCTCCTGACTGTGGATAGAAACATATAGAATGTGGCGAGATTAAACATAGTTGCATGCGCATAACACTACCCTTAACATGGGATAGTGGCATAACATATAGAAAATCAGTTGAAAAAGGCTTGACTTCTTAGATTCACACAAAGCTTAAATATTGAAAAATAATTAATTAAAAAAGACAATAAAAACCAATCTTAGAGTGCTCGCAGTTAATGAAAGCTAATTCAAAGTTAGTTAAAACTAATAAATAAATCAATTTTTCCCGAACTAAAAAATCAATCAGTACACAACCTATAGATTTGGATTTCAGTCGGCATTAAAAGTCTTAGAAAAACATGACATTGTGCAATGCAAAAAGAGTATTGACTAAAAGTAGAAGGTATTAATCACTGTATGGGAAAACATATTTCGTTATGCTTTAATTTATTTGTTACAAAATCAATGTTAGTTACGATGAAAACAATATGCATAGATCTAATTGCAGTGTTAAATTGATAACCTTCTAGAAAAAGTATATTCAAAGTATCGACAAGTTTACATGGATCATATCTAAACTTAAGGGAAATTACCGAGGAAGTGATATCTGGTTTCTAATAAGTTTTCTATAGGGAAGCCAAACTTCCCAACCAAATATTTGTATTTTTCAAAGAATTTGGTATTGGTTTTAAAGAATTGGTGGTAACAAAATTCCTTACTTAATAATTTATCAGTGTTACATAACTTAAGTTCATTGAGATATCAAAAGTCGCTACAGACACGGGCATAGCAAAGTCTGCTTAAACTACAAGCGAACGCATTTGGATATATTTATTTCGTAAGACGGGGTCACAGGAACATGCCCTTCCAAAACGAAAACAACAGTAATGATAGCTAAATAAAAATCATCGCATTGGTCGTAAAGTTGTATGCTGAGCTTTCTGAAATTTAAATATTAAAAGGACAGGTTTGACAAACATTTGATACTTTTTTTCATGTAAAACTTTTAAAAATATTGAAATTACTTATTTAAAATGAAATAATGATAAATGATGTTCGCACAAACGTACTTAGAGGATGTTAGAATCTGCTTACCATTAATTCCGAAGCACTCACGATCACCGTTGCTTATATGAGGTTCATATTGCTCAGTCTTTAGAATTCTTTGTAGTTTTCTGTAGATAATGGATTGGCTTTTTAGAGTTTTTTTTTCATCTTGTTTGGTTTCGACCTATGAACTTTAATCGTCTCTTTGGCATCTTCCGACTTATTTTAGGTATAAAGTTAGAAATAATTAGGGTTTTTTTCTTTACTCACGTTTGCATTTGATCAGTGATTAAATTATATACGTTTATTTTTCACTTTTAAATACATACCAATATTACCAGGCAATTTACAAGGAAATGAAATAAGTATTGCAATGCCTTCTCTCTCATAATATTTTAATACTGCATATGCATCTTCATTTACTTGTTGTAGTGATATCAGTACTGTATCTACACCCATCATTTTTTGATATTCGAACCATTCAATAAGATGCAATGGATTAAGATAGTTATAAGCTATTTTAGCACATATTGCAAATTTGTTTTTCTTGACTGATGCGTATAACACTGGCTGACGAATATGAGAAGAATTACAAAATTCCTTTTTTCCTACCAATTGAATATGCTTCATCTTGAAACTGATATTATGTACAAAACATTGATACTGTCTTGCTTTAAGATCTGCAAACCTTCTTTTTCGAGGGTACGTTTCTTTCACAACAGCTTTTACGCGGTGAACTGATAATTTCTCATCTCCGTAAATACAGCAGTCGAAATTGGAATTCTTGGAGCCATCGAGAACATTTAAAACTACAAATTCTATCAGATTCAAATCTGTTTTTGCTTGTGCTACAGCAGAAATGATATGCACCGTTTCAGAACAAGATTCGATATTCTGAAAAAGAAATAATAAGACTTTTACAAAGACATATATTTTAATACATACTTATTAGACATATGATACAACAGGTCCAGTTAACCAATTTAAAACGCCTGAATACATTTTGACTATTACTTTGACTAATATTTTCCCATGATACATTGATTGAAAAATCACTTTCTGAATGCTTAGACAACTACACGATAAATAAATTAACGCTACGTACTTATTCAATAGGTTAGTAAGAGTTATATACTAACGTATATAGATCAATACGATTTGCTTTAAAACTCGATCTACATTGTTTTACATGCTGATCCTGAAGACCATCGTTGTCAAAGAGCTGTGCTTAAACGTTTTGTAAGTTTTTCGCGTTGTTAGTACATATGCAAATTGTCAACAAGACAAAATACTACATCAGTCATACCATTTTATTTTCTACTTGCACAGTCTTATATATGCTTGTTTTCTTTTTTTCTCATTACTTGTATCAAATTTCAAATTATGTTTGAAAGGGAACGTCTATATGCATTCTTCAAAACATGAGCCAAACCTTTATCAGCTTCCATGATACAAAATTGAAAACAAGAAGTTAGGAATTACTTGCGTCTGAAGAGCTTTTCTGGAATTACCTTCATCAGTCGTTCAAATGTCGCAGCGGAATTTTAGGGTTTTCATCGATTCTGAATGGTTTATAAGAATAAAAACGATTTAATTGGCTGATCTGTCATGCATCTATACCATTAATGAATATGATTACGTTTGAATTTTATTGATGTAAAATTGTTAGAATATCTCATTTCTGTCCATAATAATCTAAAGACTAAGGAAAGTTTACGGTTCGTTTAGTTTTCATTTAACATATATCAGTTATCCTAAGTTTCAACTCCCCACCATGTGATGTTTGTTTGGTGATTTCAGATATCAAATGCAGCATATGCCGTTATTTTATAAATCGACTGAAATCCAGTTGAGTCACGAATGTAATCGGTTTTAACAGTAAAATAGCTTATTTGAGCCAGATTCGGCTCAATTTTTTCCCGGGTTTATGGTTTTCAAGGCTTTTCATCTTCCTTATTGATTTGGCCTTCTTACAGTTAGGATTCTAGTGACATTGAAGAATGTGGTGTAGACGAAACGAGTTTATGGTTTGCAAATTTGTAAGATCGGTATATATTTAATGAGTTTTACAACCACTTGGCCGATGCCACTGCTCGTGGTCGTTTCGTCTCCGAGGGTATCACTATCCTTGTTGTTTGAAATCTTGTGTTAACAATTGTTTTGGAATTTTTGGTTTTCTTTGATATTAAAATTTCTAACTGATATGGGTGTCAAACTGATTTGAGCACCATCAACGAGTCTTGGCTTTGCAAACATGTACACCATTGCTTTTTACCTTGTGATAAAGATGTTGATCACTCAAGTTAAATTGGTTATAACTGAAATATACCAATACTATTCCTTTAGTTTAATAGCTATTGTTATTTATATGGTGCCACATGTGGAGCAGAATCTGCTTACTCTTACGTTTATTGGAATAATTTACTGAACTATGGGTTAATGAATGACAAACTACCATCTATATTTCATTATTCATACCAGAAAGTTATATGTTATTCATTAACAAACTTAAATGTACTTAAAAAGCTTTCAGTAACTGAAACTCTTTAGATTGGTACTCTGTTTATTTTGGCTTTATGTTAGTTTTTATTGAACTTGCCTGAGGGATGATGATGATATATCAAGCCATTTTCAACTGATTTGTGCAGTTTCTTTTTATGTAGTGTTGTTACACCACTGACCATGGTTCGAGGCAGCTGAGCGCACACAATCATATTTAATTAAACACAGACATATTATATATGTACCAGTTCCAAGTAAGAAACTGGTAATTCAGTGGAGGTCGTTGATGTTGTTAGTTATATTTTTTCACAATTCTGGCCTTTGGTTTTTTCTATTAAATTGTGTTAGTTTTTTCAAAGCCTTTAATACTGACTTTACAGTAAGTGATTTTCTCATAGTTAAAGGCCGTATGGTAGCCTATATTTACTTATTTTGTAATATTTGCTTGAAAATCGCGGATAATTATTTTCAATGACTATATTTGGTACTTAAAAATCAATTTTCTTTACCTGGTTGTCAAATTTGTGAGAAAGATAGTGAACATTATATTGCAACTTATTGACTTAGCTAAATTTCCAATATTTAATTAAAAATAGTTAGCATATTTCGTACTATTGTTTCACATATGGAATTTGATAACTCTGTGTATTGTGTAGTTTATAACATAGCATACACATTTCATTTAAAATGTTGAACATGTATTTGTAATAACTAGTGTTTGTACCTCTTAATTTCATCTACCTGAACAGAATGAATACATCTTAAAGAAACTCAGTTAGAACATTAATGTTTTGTCAAAATTTCATTGTACATAATTCATTGGGACATTCAGTAGGAAAGAATTGGTACAACCAAGTTTCAAATGTACATAACCTTACATCAAGTGTACAAGATAAAGATGCTATCAGAAATATGTGATGTGCTTATGATTGTTTGCCCGACGTTCAGTGGTTCTCTCCGGCACTTTGGCTTCCTATATAGCTATGTCAATAAAAAAGGCGGCAACGATATAGCAAAAGTGCTGAAAGTGTGTTAAACCCGAACGATCAATCAATAATCATTTGGGTTTTGCCTTATTTCCTTGATATGGCTGATTGAAAAATATTTCATTAAATCGTATTTTTCCGCCCATAGAAAAATCTTTTATAACAATGTGGAGTATATTTCTGGGAGCCTGTGCGAATCTATGTGTCGAATTAACGTACTCGTTCTAAATAATGACTTGCTATTTACCTTTGATGTTGTTTTGTGAAAAAATAGTCCTGGATGTCCAAAACGTGATGTTCTGCAGAGCTCGCCACACATAATTTGGACCCTTTCTATTTCGTTCATATGATTCACTTTTTGTTTTTTATCGTTCATCATTGTGTTCTTTTTCATGATAAAGAATAGAAGAATAAACGTCAACAGCAAAAGAACTTTTCTATATATTGAATATCTGATCATCATTTAGTTCTTATTTGAGTTTTAATAGCAGCTTGATCTCTGAAAATAGATGAAGACATGCACAAATGAGTATAAAATTAGGTATAAATAACATTATAAACTTTTTAAAAATCCTATCCGACTACGAATATTTACTACCATATTTCGAATGTCAATGTAAACAAGGTACACATCAATGTTCTTTACTGTAAATTCGTTTAAAAAAGCCCACAAAACGATGAAGCGAAATATAGTGACAAAATAACAGGTTGTAGTACTTTGTATACAAATAATTATACATGAAAATACAGATACAAAAATAAGGGTCATGTCTGAAGTGTGTAAGGTTTTAAACAAATATGAAGATGCAGAAGTTCCTTGTCCTCTATCACTCAGGAAAGGGTTTACCAAGTTATAGGTGGCACGGTAGTATTTCCTGGCCCATAAGGGATAATGATAGCCTTTTAAGAATTTTCACCACTTTCTAAACTGCCAAAAATTCTACATTCACAGTTAACTGAAGTACTTTCATTTTACTATTCAGAAATGAATTTGAATATGTATCATGACCGTTTACTTTTTTCTTTAAGAACTTAAGGCCACTAGTGCTTTTAGGTCTTTTGTCGTACAGTGAATACAAAATTTAAAAAAAATTAAAAAAATTCATTTTCATCTTTATGTAAAATTATTTCATATTTTTCTACACCTGATTCATCCCTCAGTTTGGGAAAGTATGTTCAGTTGATACTGAATTTTTTATCCAATCATAATGTTCAGATACATTGACTTAAGTAGGGTACACAAAAGAGCAACCTATATTCTGGAATGCAAATACTTCCGTGCTACCTATAATATCACTGATGATTCACAACTCTTTCGCCCAAGGAAAGCAGAATATCAAGAGAAGTTGGTTGTAGCATCACCTTGTCACACACCAAATCACACTTCAATAGTACTTTTTCCCCGACCGCTTGTATGCATATTAATTGCTCTGAGGTTGAACATTGATATACAATGTATTTTTCCCCCACAATATCAACTAGTCATTTTCCGCAAAAACATCTTATCCGAAGGATTTGGTTAACTTTTATAAAAAGTCAAAATTTTATTAACAAAAATATAACTTATTAACAGAAAATACACGAAAGAACTACTATATATATTCAAATCACTCAAAAATAAATTAACTTATCATAGAAAATGTACATAGTCACATCGAAACTATCAAATTCATTGTGAAGTAAAAAATAATAGGTGGAGCTGATTGACGGATAGGAAATTTCCGTAATTAAAAAAGTTACAAATGATGTTTTTATTTTTGAGTTTTTGACAAAATTGTTTGGAATTTGCCTAACAAAATTTGCATGCCGTATCGCAATAATATATTTTGTCCTCTCAAATGTCAAATACTGTTTTTGAATCATATGTTTTCTCGTTTTCATAGAAAAACGCGTTAAATTTCCATCTAAAAAACAGCCATCTTTAAGTTTGAAAGTTTTACTCGGGGATGGTATTATATTTATGTCTTCATCATTCCTAATATCTTGAATGATATGTGCATCGAAAAATATTTACGAAAATAGCGGGAAATTTAACAAAAAACTTTAGTTTTTGGATTTTAAGGTGACTACCCAAAACAATAAATTGAGGGGTACCCCATTAAAGGGCTAAAATACAAAAATGTGACCATAGAAACTTTTTTTCGACCAGACGGAAATTAAAATATAGATATTATTCTATCGTTTAAAACAATTTGCAGCCGTGTGTTATTCCGGAACATTAAACTCGTTCACTAAGCGTCTCCCGAGGTCAGTTGCAGTACTAATATACATGTAAAGTTTTTCATCTCACAAGATTGAAGCTGCATGCATTGTTTGACGCTCTTCTAGTTTAACGTTTCATAAATTGATCTGATAATTTTAAGAAACTTTCATAATAAATCGAAAGGTCATTTTGCAAAGGTTTTATGTCAATTAAATATTGCATAAAGTAATATTTGACGTCAGCTTTCATGAAAGTACAAAACAACATATCAGCAACAGAGTGTCAATTAAATATTGCATAAAGTAATATTTGACGTCAGCTTTCATGAAAATACAAAACAACATATCAGCAACAGAGATACATCTGTAAAAATCTGGTAATTTGGCATTTCGATTCCTTTTTCCCAGTTTCTTCTTTTATGTACATAACATTGTTTTTGTATTCCATTAACTCGGATCCAGTATCAATGCGTGTTATCTGTGCTAAGCTAATGTTTGTATAGAGGAAGGATTGACTTTGATAAACAGAATTTTAGAAGATCCTTGTTAAATGCAAATTCCATAAGTACTTGTATACCGTAAACTAAATGACCAAAAGAAAAAAAATGCGAAATTCGTTTTAGGTCACCTTAGTTTTATTTCGTTTATTACATTGCAATATATTCTTTGTAATATTTAATAAAACAGTTCTTGATAATATCGGTGTAACTATGTCCACATAGGTAGTAACAATTCATTCCATTAACTCAACTTACTCAACACTATACTAAACGGACATATTAAATTTGTTTCGTAAATTGTCTAAAAAAAATTATATTATCTTATAGATAAATGTAAGGAAATATGTTGTAAAGACAAATTACACAATTCGTTTGTATTAAATACCAAGGAATAATGACAGGTCACCGTGCAGTTCAAAAAAAAGCAAAACCCATACCGTATTATACAATGTAGTAATCTGTTCTAGTTTTTTTTAGGGAAGATGTGCCTCAATTAGGTAGAATTCGTGTAAGGCTTTCTATGTCCTTCTTGTTGCGGGTTATTGCACAAGTTCATTAAGAACAACAAAAAAACTCGACTGATAGATATTTGCAACAGAAGTTGCAAATCTTACGAGCAGTGAGTTTTTTTTGGGTTTTTTTATGATTAATTCAAATTTGTGTAAAAAAGCAAATGATACATTTGCGAAACTCAGTCTATATATCAAAGTATACAGATTATATCACTGTACTCTTTTATAGATGAATTTATCATAACTTTGAACGACTTTCAGCATATTACTTTTTATGTAATGTCAGTGTTATTTGGACACTTTAAACTGAGTCCGTTTTTCGAACAGCGGGTGAGAAAGGCATAACAAGATACACTTCCGAATCGACGCTCCCGGTTTGGTTTCAAACGAATTCCTCCGGATGTTCGTTTATAGTTGAGTACATGTATTAAAAATAAAATTTAGAAGTTCCGAACATTCTTAAAGGCTTGTTACCTCTTTCCAAATTATTAACATCAATCTTATAAGCAATCAAAGCCGGGCTTCAAGTTATTGTGAAACTACCTATTCTAGAGGTGGCGAGCATCAAATGTGGATACTAGAAAATGTCAAAGATCTTTAAGAGTACATACAATTTAAGATTCTTCCATCTTGCAATAGTATTAAACAATTTGACTTTTCTACACTTTACATAAATGTATTCCCAATTTCGAACTAAAAGACAAATTGAAAGAGTTGGTCCTGCTTTGTGTCATCATACAGAATGGCAAATGTAGATACAAGTATCTTGTCTTAGGGAGGGATAAATCGTCTTGTCTTTCATTTTTGCTTATATACTTTGTCCATAGAGTGACTATATGCTATTATGTTTTCCTTAGTTGAAATAGTAATTTGTTTTTACAGTGATTAAGATTATATTACAATGTTGCGTGTAGTACCCCAATTTTTGACATTTTTAACTTTATGTCTGTTTGATTTGCTCATTCATTGTTGTCAATATAATGGAATTCTATGCGACTGTAAAACAAGTAAGAGGTTTAGCTAGCTATAAAACCAGCTTTAATCCATCATTTCCTACATTATGGAATGCCTGTACCAAGTCAACAATACAACAGTTGTTTTCCATTCGTTTGATGTATCCTATTTTTCAACTTCCCTTGGAGTTCGGTATTTTTGTTAATTAACCTTTATCGTACTTTGTAAACAATCACTCTGATTCAAACAAAAACTTCTCTGAAACTGACTTTATCAACATGCTTGATTTCTTTATTGACAACATATTTGTTACGTTTGGAGGACGTGTTTTCAACAAACAATCGGCATTCCATTGGGAACCAACTGTGTCCCTCTTTTTGCCGACTTGTTCCTTTATTCGTATGAGGCTGACCTCATACAGGAACTTCTTAGGAAGAAAGAAAAGAAGTTAGCAGTATCTTTTTTACTTCATTTTCCGCTGTAAAGATGATTTTCTCTAACTAAATAATTCAAAATTTGGTGACTATGTTAAACGCATCTATTTTATTTATTAATCCACCATTTCCTACATTAGGAAATGCCTCTACCAAGTCAGGAATATGACAGTTGGTTTTCATTCGTTTGATGTGTTTGAGCTTTTAATTTTGCCATTTGATAAGGGACTTTCCGTATTGAATTTTCCTTGGAATTCTGTATTTTTGTTATTTTACTTTTTCTATCCCATCGAACTTGATATAAAGGATTAAACAGATACAAAAATCTAGAAATTGACAATGAGGGTCGTTTGAAAACAAAATTTTACGACAAAAAAGATGATTTCAGCTTCCCAATTGATACCTTTCCATTTTTATGTAGCAACATTCCAGCAGCGTATGCATACGGAATATATATTACCCAGTTGATACGATATTCCAGTCTTGTATTTACTTTCATGATTTTCTTGATAGAGGGTTGCTGCTCACAAGGAAGCTATTAAACAAAGATTTCCAAATGACGAAGTTGAAATCATCCCTTCGCAAATTTAACGAACGCCATCACGAGTTGGTTGACCGTTATGGAATATCCGTTTCATAGTTGACAACAGATATGTTCCAATTGTCATAACTATAATCTCGTCCTCTTTTCCCTGAATGTGACCTACCGAATAGACTTATCACCGGGTTTGTACTACATGAGCAACATGACGGGTGGCACATGTGGAACAGGATCTGCTTACCCTTCCTGAGCACCTGAGATCACCGCTATATTTTGATAGGGTTCGTGTTGCTCAGCCTTTAGTTCTCTATGTTGTGTTTTGTGTACTGTTGTTCGTCTGTTTGTCTTTTTCTTTTTTAGTCAAGGCTTTGTCGATTTATTTTCGACTTATGAGTTTGAATGTTCTGTGGTATATTTCGCCTCTCTTTTGCCACTTATTCAGATTGATAAATTGAATATATTCGTTTGAAAAATAAACATACCGTCTCCATGCATTTTTGCGGTTTAGTTTGTAATGCAAAAAATCTAGTATTTCAGCATCTAAAATATAAATGAGACTACTTCCATAAGTTCTTAAGTGTTGATTAACATGCATTCGCAAAATATTAGGAAATGTATTTATATGAAGGACGATAAAACGAACTTAAAAGCATTCAACATGCTATGATTTTGTTATATAAAGTGCAAATGAGCAGTTGAATTATCAAAAAATGATATAAGCATTGCTAGGGAAAATTCAGATAACAAATTATCAAATAATCATCCATTATTCCCCTTTCAACATTTTATTACATTTTTTATAATATTTATTCATATAGATAAAAAAACATTCAAGTGTTATTTTCATTTTTAATAGCACTGGGCCGATACACACTATCAACCCCCGGTGGTATCATCAAAGTAGTCATAATTGCAGTACTGACATGGTTCATAACATACGTTTCTTAAATTGCTCGTATATCAAATTAGTCTTTATTACGAAACAAAGGTTCCAACTCCGTCAGAAAAAGTTGACCTTAGATGGATTTGGCTGTTATTTTATGTCCCTTCTAATCATATAGCTTCTCGCGTGTTTTGGTGCTTATACATCATTGGCTTTCATTTGTTTACCTTTGAGCGTTCCCGATGAAGGTAAACCAAGAAAAGAGCTTTGGACGCCCAAAAAAAAAAGAAATTGAAGTTTTATTTTATTTTTAAATCTGTCCATTGGATTAATTTAAACAATAATCAACGGGAATAGGAAAACAGGATTTTTTTATGTTTTACTGAATTTTATTTCAACTTAACTTTGAAAAGATGTTCAACAGGATTGACTATATAAATAGTGTGCTTCAGAATGTGTTTCGACATTAATTGAAACGGTCCGATGATTTAAATTTTTTTCCAATAATGATCAGTTTTCAATTTTTCATTTTTTTTCCATTCATGATAATTAAAACCAGAGATGATTTCCAAGTCTTGGTAATTTAGCATTTTGATTCTAATCTCTGGTATGTACATCAGTATTTTTATGGCATTCTATTAGTTTGGATTCAGTAACAATACAGTTATCAATGTGAGTACATGTATGAATGCATGTTTGTCGTAGAAAAAAAACTTTCTAAATCTGATATACATCCTGTGGATTCATTATTATTCGTGGGATACCAATTTCGGTTGGTACAGGTTAATCACGAATTTAAATGTTAAACGTTGGATGTTGTGTTTTGTGAAGTGTTGTTTGTCTATTGGTCTTCTTATTTTTTAGCCATGGCGTTCTTATTTTCGACTTATGAGTTGAATATCCCTTTGGTATCTTTTACCACTCTTTTACTTAATTCACAAATATCGGTACCCATAAATCGAAAATAATTGAATCCTCAGTTGTGAAAAAAGGGGCTGATGTATTATGTCCATATGAATAAAAATCAACCGGAGTTCAAATGACATTTATAGAAGCATTTATAGGTCACCATAAGCTTTCGGCAATTAGCAAAACCAACACCATAAAGTTTGTATTGGTTTGGCAATTATGGGTGTTATATGTTATTCCTTTACCCTTTACTCTTATTAGAAAAAAAATCTAACTTGAAAAACGATCTTTCATTTAAAGTGAACTATATTCTATACGTAAACCTACTGTTATCAACGATCTTTTTTTAAAAGCCTCTCTTAATCTAATGTCCAAAAGAAAGTAATTTAGCTCCTTACGTTTTGCTTTGAAATGTTTAGGTTCACGCACGAAATTTATATAATGTTTCATCAATATAAACCTAGATGTAACCAGATTTGTTGTTGTCGTTACATCCTAGCGTAACGTGATCAGCATTTGTCAATTTATATTGATTCATATTAACCTTCATTTTTAAGTAAGAAACGATATATGTTTACTAGTATCAATAGTTTATGAACAATTTGTTAACAATCAGATGTATGCATTTCGACCTTAAAAAGACTTTTATTGATACAAAATGAGTAATATTTCAACTTTTTAACATGATAAAAATAAACTTGTGTGCGTTATCTTATTTTATTGTTCGGAAAACAATAAGAAAATCTTATAACAAACAAAATGTTAACGACCAGTAAGTTTGTGTTAAGAAAAACGTTCAGTATATATGGAGAAACAAATAAAAGATTTCCATGTACCCAGGGGCAGTTACTGGCATTTCCCTGTAAGACATCCATTTTGATAAAAGGATTGAGTCGTTAAATGCAACAAAGTTTTGACAGTTTTTGTAACTTTCCTTCCACCTAACTGTGTATGTCTCCAAATTATGTTATTTATTGTTTCTTCATGTTTAAAAAGTTTTTAAAACATTGACATCAATTTATCTTTTACTTGTATATACCTATATTTTCAATTATATCAGATTTTGTGAAAAGAAAAGTGTGCAGTTCAAAAAGACAAGGAGCTGTAAAGAAAATTAAATCACAAAATGTAAAGTGTCCGGTTGTGACACTGTTTACTTGAGTGAATTAATCGGGTTGTTTTGAGTGTGACCAGGTTTATTTTCGTGTGAATATGGTGCAAAATGTTAACAAACTGTCGTTTTTTCACAACCTCAGTGTTGACAAGGTAGTAATACAGTAGACCATTACTATGCCTCCGACTCCCCGACAGCTCGAATGACACAATACTTTACATATCAGTAGCCAGGACCAGATAGCAAAAACTGAAAAAAAACTATCATGTTTTATCCAAAATCCCATCTTATTTCATGGATTTGTAGATGAAATTAAAAACCACACTGTCGATAGGCCAGCCAAAGAAATTTATGTACATACATGCACACTGCAATATGGTAACGTATTTGTTACCTTATGGGAATATATATTCATTGCACCCGTTCGTTGCATCTGTTCATTTTCACTACAAAAACAGTGCAGTCCAAAGGGTAACTAAATCCCTAAAGTACAAGTTATTTCATTTCAAGGGGTTCAACAGTTGATTGATTGATTGATTGATAACTTCTTAACATCGCTTAAGCAGAAAGATCCCGTTACAAGTATTCTAAGCAAAAAAGTAATTTTACAAAACAATAGAGTACTATTTTTGTAAAAAAAAATGTCTTAAGTACGACTTAAAGAATATACAATATATAAAACAAAGAACCCGAATCGTATGCTTGAAACATACAAATATGATAAATAGACATACATTTATAAATCTTACAATTTTTTATTTTAGTATACGTTTGAACGTCTTTTAATAATGATGTTATATTTTATATTGGAGAATTTACAAACAAATTATTCATACTATTCACGTCAGAACAATTCTTCAAAATATCAACAAAATCCATACATTCTATTAAAATGTGTTTCATGTGTTGAATAGTATATTTACAATTACAAGGCATACATTCGGGTTTTGGAATTTTTTTTCAAATTACATTCGTTAATTATTCTTGTGTGACCTATTCAGCACCTATATATACCAATTTGAGTTTTTTTTTTTTTGTAATCTAAATTATCCTACGTTATCTCAATGTCAGATGTTCTGGCACAATGTCAGGTTTCCTGGCATGAAAGTTATAAGTAGTACGAGACGATTAAATAAACGGTAAGGTCACAAAATTTGCCTTGGCCTCTGCAATAAAAAAACTGGTCGCAGTAGGTGATAAGCTGAGAGTTGCAGCTGACACACGATAGACCTCAACACATGCAACTTTCCCTGAATTGTTTGATCAATCAGTGTATAGGTCGAAAATTTTCTGATTTTAATATCGACATAATGTTGCTGATTTAGAAGAGGGTTTGTGTATTTTTGGAGGCCGTATATCATTTTTGTTTAGAAGTTTCCTTGGCGTGCATTTATACGTATCAACAGCAGCAACGGCTTATACTTATAATGTATTGATATGCGGTTTTAAGCCAATTTCTAATAAAGATATTTTACTTTCCTCGTAGATGGGGTAGAAAACATCAGTTGCAAGGCAAGATTGTCTGGATATGCCTTAAGCTTATTATTTAACCGAAGACCCAGCTTCAGACTTCTGTTGGAGAGTGAAAGTTCGACGGCTTCTACAGACAGACTCTCCATCGGAGATGTGTAAAAGCACAAAGACACAGACCAAGACTTTGGTAATGTACAGCATCGAGATTTTGAAAAACAGAGAGGCGGAATATACCAAAGAGATGTTCAAAGTCGTAAGTTGATCTGCTCTGATATCTTATATATCTCTCCCAGATTTGCTGACAGTGTAATGATATCAAACTTACAGCCCCAGTTCTGAATCGTTATACTTCACATAGCTCTAATTCTACAACTTTCTTTGACTATTTAAGTCATCAAAGCCATTAGTAAAAACAAATATATACCCAATATTCTTTATTGGAAAATTCAGCCACTAATACACTGTGGAGGTTAATATTTCAACATGGTCAAATACATGATGAACATTTACTAGACGTAGATGTTGTAATCAAATTTATTTTATATTCACATGATTCATCGTTGGAGCTAATGAGGGCGTAATTTCATCAAATAACATTTTTTGCTTTAGAAAGTAGAATTTTCTTTTGCATCAACATTTACTCTTCATGATAGACTTACAAAAGGGTACAGTTGTATCTCATTTTCGTTTAGGATTTAATTGTAACGACTGATTCGGGATATTTTGAGTTGGCCTGATTCCTACCTCCGATTTCAACCTCAAATAGTTTCTCTGCTGGTAAGAACAGGTTGATACTGTATACTGAACACGAAAGTATTATTTTGTTGGTTAAAACATATTTTTCCTGACCGAATTTATGTGTGTTCACTGAACATTTTTGATAAATTCTGTTTTTGGAATCGCACCAGGTCTGTATTGAAATAAGATAATTCATTTTTGAATGCTTAAAATTCTTCCCTATTGTCATTCTATAAATCTGTATTAGCCTTTTTCATTATCATAGACTACCGCCGAAATACAATAAATTGCCTTATATATTTCGGCTGAACATTTCAAATTGGCCTATCCAATGAAGCATAGACTTTATTGATTAAACACATTAAAAAATGTTTTATCTGTGCTTTGTTGCTGTTGTTTTTTTTCCAATAATTTCGATTTTCA